ACTCAAGTCATTTCTATTCTGTGATGTAGAATGACTCTGACTTGTTAAAGGAGTTAAAAGAGTAGTTAAGAGATCTTCTTAGTAAGGGCTTCATCCGATCAAAGTGTATCATCACCTTGGGGTGTTTTGGTCTTATTTGTGAGGAAGAAAGATGGTTCCCTTAGGATGTGTATTGATTAACGCCAGTTCAATAAGGTCACCATAAAGAATAAGTATCCCTTTCCAAGAATTGATGACCTTTTAGAAAAACTTAAGGGTGCCACTTTCTTCTCTAAGATAGACCTTAGATCTGGCTACCATCAGTTGAAAGTAAGAGAAAGTGACATCCCAAAAACACCATTATGGTCATTATGAGTTCCTTGTGATGTCCTTTGGTTTGACTTATGCTCCTGCAACATTTATCGATCTTATGAACAGAGTGTTTAAGCCGTATCTCAACATATTTGTTATCATATTTATCGATGACATAATATATATTCAAAGAATGAGGAGGACCATGCTAGTCATCTTAGAATAGTTTTCCAAACTCTCAAGGATCGAGAGTTATATGCCATGTTTTCTAAGTATGAGTTCTGGCTTGAATACGTGGCGTTCTTAGGCCACATTGTGTCTGGCGAAGGGATTCTAGTTGACACTTAGAAGATTGAGGCAGTGTAGAACTGGCCCAAACACATGTCTCCAATTGATATACGGAGTTTCTTAGGATTGGCTGGTTACTATAGAAGGTTTGTCGAGAGATTTTGATCTAGTTAATCCTCGTTGACCAATGTTGGAATGTCTACTTCCACTTAGCTATGATAGGACCAGGTCCTCAACACGATTTACAATGACAAAAAGCAGATAAATACTTAAAGTAAATAAATGCTGAAAGTAAAGATTGTACACACAAATTTACGTGGAAACCTCCTTGCTCAAGGGAGTAAAACCATGACCTCTCTCGTAGGGACTTTCAAACTGCTTTCACTAAACTTCACAAGCAAAAGTAAAACACAGTTTACAACTTGAGATTAACCTGTTAATCTCCACACTAAGTAATATCACCTATTACTTAACCGAGTCTAAGCAGATACAACACTACCTACTATACTAATCCTGACTGATTAATATAGACTTTGACGTAAGACACTAAGTTACATACAACTAAGTTCTTACAATGATTCACACAAGCTTGAAACGTTTCTATCACAAGCGAAATGATTCCTACAATATAAGCACGATTACAAGCAATCAAAGTAACAACTGGTACAGGAAGCAATAATGCAATCTATCAGGTCCCTACTGTTTTGAAGCTTGAATGTCTCTCTTTGAATGAATGAGTTGTTTGTTGTTTTTGGTCTTAAATATATCAAACATCAAGAGTTAATACCCTTTGGACAAAAAACCTCGCCGCTTCTGGTTGGTGTGGTACACTGGCGGCTTCACCAACTTTCTGACGCAAACAACTTTCCAGCTTTACATCATATGACCCTCGACGAGTACACTCTGCAGAGGACCGGGTCCCTACACTTGTGAGGAGATCATCAAAACATCTGGGAGCATTAAGACTTATCATTTCCCCCCTTTTTAATGATGACAAACAACCTACAAGCAACCTCTCATGAGTGTTAAACATTCATTCAAAAATTACATTAGTTCCCCCTGTCACCTATTCCCCTTATCACTGTTTTTCCTCTTTTGTTCAGTTCCCTTATTTCACAACAGTTTACCAAAAATTCCCCCTTTTGACATCATTGAAAAGGAATAGCAGTACACATATGCGAGCTATATGCAAATCATTTAAGAAATCAGGGCCATGGGCCACACAGAGTATGTACATGTAAGCATAAAGAGAATATTAAACCATACTGAACAGGGCACAATTGCAATAAGCATTAGATCACAAAAACTGACCATAGTAGTCAGTCAAAACAATACACATAGCCACAAGAGTTTTAAACCAGGAGTGAAAAAGAAACTAGGGAAACATGACTCATTTCGAACGGAGGGGGAAGGGGATTAAGGGTATGCATGAGCAAAGACATTCTCTCATTTTCAGCCTCATGAGCCTGAATAACTTGCTTGTTGAGAGCCTTGAGTTCCTCACTGAGTGAGGCATTTGTCTTCAATAACTGCTCATTCTCAGCTCTCAACTTTTGCACCACTGGTACCAGGTCCCATTGAAATAACCTTCTGCAGCTGAGATTTCAGTTGTGCAATCTCAACCTCCTTATCATTTAAGATCATGGTGAGATCAGTCAACTCTTATATAAGAGAGGCTTGCTGTTCTAGAAGATCTACCCCCTGAGACCTACCTCTGGCCTTTCCTTCAACACACTCACATTATAGTAGGGTAACAACAATGAACATTTGCTTGGTGGTACGAGGTACCCCTCGTCCCAAAGGCACTTCGAAATGTTTGAATACATAATTCAACAAGTAGCCATACGGGATGACGTGCTTTGCCAGTTTCTAGGTCATCACCCTGTGCATATGTTCAAGCATTATAGCAGGGAGATTTATTTCCTCAAGTTCATCCAACTTCTCCATGAGAAATAGATCAGCAACATATGCTACAGTTCTCTTCTCCGTCTTTAGTACCATCACCTTGTTGATGAACTCAAAGAGTAGCTGATATTCTCATTTGAGAAACTTGTTTGGTATTCCTGCACGCTTGATTTCCCAACGCTTTTTGGTCTGTTCTGAGAACACACTGGATGGCTTGCAGCCTTCAATTGACCGGATTTCTCTCGCAGGAACACCTAGAATGATCCCCAAAGTTTCCTCATCTAAAATGATCTTAATATGTTTGACAAAAGTACTAATTCCTCCATCCTTTATCAACTCCATTTTGTAGTAAAATTCGCTCACCTCAGGTTCATACAAATAAGGTACTGGGGGGTTCGAATAGATGGCCCCAACCTTGTAGAGACACAACATCAAAGAGATTGGGCATACCAAATTCGGTTATAATATCAGGATAAAAAACTCTGCCGTTCAACACTTTCTGGTTCTCCATTTCAGCTATGCGTTCTTTCCTGGTCATCTCCTTGTCTGCAACTTGTTTTGGAACATTAGGACCTGGTCCCTTGTCCTGATTTGATTTAACAGTAACCTTTTTCTTCACTCTCTCCTCCTTCACAGGAGATTTCTTGACAGACTTCTGACATCCCTTCCATTAAACCCTCTTAGCCTCAACTTCCTTTCTTCGTTTTGTCACATATGCAGTGATATCATCAGATTTGGTATCACTGGTCCCAACAAGCAAAGGAGTTGATGTGGGCTCTTTAGGCAAGTGACCTTCCCATCTTCTTTTCCTAATCCTCTCAGTTTGAATTACATTCACTGCAATGGCACTCCCCATATCTTTCTGCATTTTACTCTTAGTCCCATACCTTTTCTTATCCTTTTTTGAGTTGGACTCAACCAACTTTCCCTTCCCTTTTCTTTCTCTCCTTTGCAAACTCAGCGGGCTCATCAGTAAGAACAACCTCATGAGTACTCTTAACTTTTTCCAAATCAGGGACACCAACTGTTAAAGTGTTGGCTCCTCGCACCCCTTTTCTGCTCCATTTTAAAGGAACTTCTTCTTCATCTTCCTTGTCACTCTCAACGTCAAACAACCTAGGTGTTTGGTCAAACACAGGTAGAACACTGTGAGGGACCTGCCCCGGAGACCTCAACTCTTGTTCCAGCAAGGTTGGTTGAACATCGCCTCTAAGAGAGGCCAAACTTTGTACATCTACTAATTCTGCCCCTGCTGTTAGAATATTCGACTCAGGACCCTTTCCCTTCGACAGATCTCCATCAAATAATCTTTCAGACATAGTAGAAGACACTCCCCTAGACAGTACTTCAAGTTCTTCAGTAGGAGGGTCATCAATTGGTTTTATGACTGATTGAGATTCTGAGTTTGGAGATTTCTCACCAGATAGAACTAACATCGGCGAACAGGGTAAGATCTCCCCAGATGGAAGATTAGGAGAAGCCACCACTTCAGTATGAGGTGTGATGGACTCGCCCATTTTACTAACACCACATGATGGTTTCAAAGGATATTCTTCTAGGGAGAGGGTGAAGAAATTGAAGGAACCAGGGTTTTCAATCTCTTGAGAAAAAGGAAGCTTTGAAGAGAAAGTGGAGTAGTCATTTTGATGAATAATAAAGGGCAATTTAAGAACGAGGTAAGAAATCACAAAAGAGATCTGAAGATGTTTGGATTAACAGAGGTTACATTTATATTTAAGTCCAAGAGGTATCGGGTCCCTGAAAAGTTGTGATTCTTGGATTTAAATTGAAAAAATGTCTGAAATTGACGCGATGAATGGGTAGGAGAGACGTGGCAGTGACGTTGACAGACATAAAGTGTAGCATAAGTGATACTAACCTCGTGGGGACCAGGTCACATTTAGTATGTAGCATGCCTGTATGATTAGATCTTCCCTTCAACTAACATGCCATGAGTGTATTCCTGCATTAAGGTACCAGAAGTGAATTCTCAAACGATACGCATTACAACAAATAGATACATGCCCTCCTTAACGTAATCAAATGGAAGATTTTGTGTAGACTTGTCATGGAATCAAGTGATCTTGTGCATAACCAGCCTTAACCTGTTTTTGATGAAACAATCTTTACCAAGAGGGTTTTGTAAAGATATCAGTCAATTGGTCTTCTGTCTTACAGAACTTCATCAGCCAATTGGTCTTCTGTCTTACAGAACTTCATTACTACATTTTTCTTTTCAACATTGTCTCTCAGAAAGTGATGCCTCACATTTATGTGCTTTTTCCTCTTATGATGAACAGGGTTCTTGGCCATGTTCATTGCACTGGTGTTATCACAAATTAGAGGGATAGTGTCTATGAGAACTCCAAAGTCTTCCAGTTGCTACTTGATCCATAGTAGTTGTGCACAACAAGATGCAATAGCCACATAATCTGCTTTAGTTGTATACAGTGCCACTGAGTTTTGCTTCTTAGTCCCCCATGAAATCAGTGATGATCCTAGAAAGTGTGCCATGCCTAATGTGCTCTTTCGATCAACAAGTAAACCTGCATAATCAGCATTAACTTAACCAATTAGATCAAAGAAGTCACCAGTGGGATAGAAGAGGATCAATACCTATGTGACCTTCAGATATCTTAGAACTCGCTTGGCTGCCTTCAAGTGTGATTCCTTTGGTGCTGCTTGAAACCTTACACACATCCCTACACTGAAGACTATGTCAGGTCTGCTAGTAGTGAGATACATAAGTGACCCAATAATTCCCCTATACATGGTCTGATTTACTTCAATTCCATCTCCATCCAGGTCAAGTTTCACACTTGTGCTCATAGGAGTATCAAGGACTTTTGCTTCAAGCAAATTGAACTTTTTCAGTAGTTCTTTTATATACTTCTCCTAACATATGGATTTTCCCTGAGAAGTCTGTCTAATCTGAAGTCCCAAAAATAAAGTAAGCTCCCCCATCATCCTCATTTCAAATTCACTACTCATTACATCAGCAAACTTCTTGCACAGTGAATCTGAAGTAGCTCCAAAGATGATATCATCTACATATACCCGCATAATCAAAAACTCCTTACCTCTGGATTTTAGGAACAATGTATTATCAATTTTACCTTTTTTGAACCCATTTGCAAGGAGGAATTTTGACAAGTGTTCATACCAAGCTCTGGGAGCTTGCTTTAAACCATACAAAGCTTTATCTAACTTTAGCACATGATTTGGCAGGTCTGCATCTTCAAAATATGGAGGCTTCTTGACATACACCTTCTCTTTCAAATTCCCATTCAAGAAGGCACTCTTGACATCCATTTGAAACAGTTTAAACTCCACGTGGGCGGCAAAGGCTATCAGGATTCTAATAGCTTCCATTCTGGCTACAAGAGCAAAGGTCTCGTCATAGTCAATCTCCTCCTCTTGATTGTATCCCTGCACCACAAGTCTTGACTTGTTTCTGGTGATGATCCCATGCTCATCAAGTTTTTTTCGGAAGACCCATCATGTCGCAATAATGGTTCTGTTAAGTGGTTTGGGGACCAGGTGCCACACCTTGCTTCTCTCAAACTGATTAAGCTCTTCCTACATTGATGTTACCCAATCTGAATCCTGTAAAGCCTCTTTGATATTGTTAGGGTCAATGGATGATATGAAGGCTGAATAAGCAATTAGATTTCTTGTTCTGGATCTAGTTTGTATTCCGAATTCAAGTGGAGAGATAAGATTGTCCAGTGGATGTGAGGATTGATGTTTCCATTCGGACTCAATGGTAATCTCTTCTTCCACATCAACATCATATTAACCTTCATCATCTTCTGGATTTTGAGATAATACCTCCTGGGCTGAACCAGAGGGACTAGGTTCTCTTGTGTGTGTTGCACCATTTTCTTTTGCAACCTGTTTGTTTCCAAGATTTTGAATTGCCTTATCCTGTTTTCTCTTGATCAGCTCCTCCAACTCATGCTCTTCTTTGTGCTCATCATTTTTCTCAAATTCATCAAATATCACATGCATTTTCTCTTCAACACATAGAGTTCTTTTGTTAAAAACCCTGTAAGCCTTGCTGGTAGAAGAGTACCCGACAAACACCCCTTCATCACTCCTGGCATCAAACTTGCCAAGGTCATCCTTTCAATTATTCAGTACAAAGCATTTGCACCCAAATGGCTTAAGATAAGCAATTGAAGGTTTTCTGTTGTTCAACAATTTGTAAGGTGTTTTCTTGATCACAGACCTGATAACACACCTATTTGTAACATAGCATGCTGTGTTGACTGCTTCTGCCCAAAAATTCATTCCATGCCCTAAGTCAATCAACATAGTTCTTGCAATATCCACCAATGTTCTGTTTTTCCTTTCAACAACTCCATTTTGCTGAGGAGTTCTTGGTGCAGAGAAATTGTGATTGATTCCATTTTTAGCATAAAAGCCTTCAATTTTAGAGTTCTCAAACTCTGTGCCATGGTCAGATCTGATACTAGCAATCTTGCATTTGACCTTCAGTTGAATAGCTTTGTCAAATGTGATCAGAAGTCCGACCATCTCATCCTTAGTCCGCAGAAACATGTTCCAGGTGAACCTGGAAAAGTCATCAACAACTACAAGAATATACTTCTTACCTCCTCTGCTTTGAATTCTAATTGGTCCACATAGGTCCATGTGGAGAAGCTCCAGAGGTCTGGTTGTGCTCACACCTTTCTTGGCTTTGAAGGATGATCTTATTTCTTTCCCTTTTGTACAGGCATCACATACTTTATCATTTGAGAACTTCAACTTTGGCAATCCACGGACCATGTCCCTGCAACAAGCTTGTTTAACAAAGAAGTACTTACATGATCCAATCGTCGATGCCATAGATTTGCATCATCAGTTTGAGCACTCAGGCATGAAAGACTGTCCCCTTCAATAGAGTCAAAATCCACAACATACATATTTTGGACTCTTTTGGCAGACATAACAACTCTTTTAGTTGCAAAGTTTGTAACCAGACACCTATTAGACATGAACTTGACTTCATTTCCCTTGTCGCAGATTTGAGATACACTCAAGAGATTGTATTTCAGACCATCCACATAGTGTAATTTGTCTATAGAATGATCAACTATTCTCCCTATCTTGCCAATACCAAGAATGGAACCCTTCTTTCCACTACCAAATGACACACCACCGCCTTGGTGTGCTTCCAAAAAGAAGAAGTTTAGAGTGTCTTCAGTCATGTGCCTTGAGCATCCACTATCCATGTACCAGCACTGACTGCTTCCTCTTTTCTGCACATGAATCACTTATTAGACTTAGGAACCCACTTCAAATGGAGTTCCCAAAAAACTGTCAAAAGGCTTAATAAGAAACCTTCCTGTCCATGGGGGTAAAGTGTTCTTGCTAAAGTGGTAATTAGGACCAGGTACCTTTTTCTTTTTCTTAAAAGACTTTCTTGATTAAGAAACTTCTCCTGTCTTTCTTTTACTCCTCTCAAAATCTTACATTTTTCTTTCAAATGACCATTTTTTCCACAGTGGGTACACAGAAGATTGTCAGAGACAAACACATACTTACTATAAGGATTGTAGGGAGGCTCTATCTATCTACAACCTAATCCCTTTCTACTGTTGAACTTCTGATTTGCTAAGTTAGAGAGTATCTTAGACGAGTCAGTCCATTTGAGGGATTGGTTCAACTCTTCTTTGATCTTACACATATCCTTCACTAGTTGAGAGTTCCTTTCTAGGGCGGCAACTAACTTACACTCAGAGTTCTTAAGTTTCTCTTCTAGTTCAACCTCAAAGTTACTGAGTTTTCGCTTCCCACCCTCAGAGGTACCAGGTTCCTCGTTGGGTTCCAGACTATCGGTCTCAAGGATACCTATTCTAACGCTCATTTCAGATATTTGAGAGTTGAGAGCTGAGTTTTCAACCTCACACAACCTCAACATGTCACTTATCGTAAATTTTCAAAAGTTAGTTCATCAACTGAGTCAATTAATAGGGCAACAAGTTTTCTCAATCTATTAATGGAAAGAGTATCTAGATCATCCTTGAGATAAAAATAACGTTACCTCATTCAGATCCTCTTCATCATCAGATTTTTCAATTAGTGAGAAAATGGAATTATAGACAGTTTTATCATCTTCCACAGCCATCATCAAGACATCTTCTGGAATGTTTGTCTCTTCCTCGGACTCTCTAGATGCATTTCCCCATACATCCAAAGCTTTCTTCACTAGTTGATCAGCATGAGATTTCCTCTTGGCATGGTCTAGGACCTGGTCCCTTCTACAAGGTCTAAAGTCCGGAGTTTTCTTCTTCTAGCTGGGGCAGTCCCTCATAAAATGACCAAGTTTGCCACATTTATGACAAAGATCATTTGCATTTGCTGCTCTACTGGTCGAAAGCCTTCATGCTTCTTGATAATCTTCTGAAACCTTCTAGTGACATATGTCATTTCATCATCCTCCTCAGTCACATCATTTTGAGATGTTTTCAAAGCAACTGATTTCTCCTTCTTTCCCTCCTTCATGTTTGTTCCCTGTTGCTTGTTCAGCTCATAAGTTTGGAAATTTCCAATCAGTTCATCCATGGCAAGCGTCTTCAGATCCTTTGCTTCAGTTATAGCATTCGCTTTGCTTTACCATGACTTGGGAAGCACTTTGAGAATCTTCCGAACCTGTTTTCTTAAGGGAATAGGTTCACCAAGGCATCTCAATTCGTTCATTATAGAGGTGAATCTTAAGTTAATCTCGAAGATGGTTTCACCTTCCTTCAAAGTTCTCATACTAAGTCGTAAGCATATCGACCTTAGACTCCTTCACTTGTGTTATTCCCTCATGGGTTGTTTGGAGACAGTCCCATATCTCATTGGCTTTGTCACATGCAGAGATTCAGTTGTACTCATCTAACCCGATTCCACATACTAGAATATTCTTTGCTTTATAATTTTTCTCTATCTTCTTCTTGTCTGTTTCATTGTACTCCTTTTTGGTTTTGATAACAATTGTAGTGAGCTCTCCATATTTCACATCCTTTGTGGGAATGTACGGTCCATCAAGAATCACGTCCCACAACTCAGTATCTTTAGCATTGATGTAATCATGCATGCGATTCTTCCACCACCCATAGCATTGTCCATTGAAGCGGGGTGGTCTGGTAGATGACTGACCTTCCTCCATATTAGCTGGAGCAGCCATTCCTTCGAATCTTTTCTTTTCTTGGTGTTACGTAAATCGAAAAGTCAAATTCTAATACCACTTGTTGGAATGTATGCATCCACTTAGCTATGATAGGACCAGGTCCTCATCACAATTTACAATGATAAAAAGCAGATAAATACTTAAAGAAAATAAATACTGAAAGTAATGATTGTACACACAACTTTACGTGGAAACCTCCTTGCTCAAGGGAGTAAAACTACGACCTATCTCACATGGATTTTCAAACTACTTTTACTAAACTTCACAAGAAAAAGTAAAACACAGTTTACAACTTGAGATTAACCTGCTAATCTCCACACTAAGTAATATCACCTATTACTTAACCGAGCCTAAGAAGATACAACACTGCTCAATATACTAATCTTGACTGATTAGTATAGACTTTGACATAAGACACTAAGTTACTCACAACTAAGTTCTTACAATGATTCATACAAGCTTGAAACATTTCTATCACAAGCGAAATGATGCCTACAATATAAGCAAGATTACAAGCAATCAAAGTAACAGTTGGTACAGGAAGCAATAATGCATTCTATTAGGTCCCTGTTGTTTGGAAGCTTGAATGTGTCTCTTTGAATGAATGAGTTGTTTGTTGTTTTTGGTCTTGAATATATCAAACATCAAGAGTTAATACCCTTTGGACAAACAACTTCGTCGCTTCTAGTTGGTGTAGTACACTGGCAACTTCACCAACTTTCTGACGCAGACAGCTTTCCAGTTCTACAACATATTACCCTGGATGAGCTATCATGAATTAAAAACTCAGTTAACCACTACTCTAGTAATGTCACACCCTGAGGCTATCCCCAGTACGTGGACACGGGACCTGGGATCACGAGTGACCCCAAGGTAACCCTACTAGCATATCATGAGCATACTTAAAGATTTTCAACATAACAGTGGACACGGGACCTAGGATCACGAGTGACCCCAAGGTAACCCTGCTAGCATATCATAAGCATACTTAAAGATTTTCAACATAATAGACATACTGTGCGGTAGCTAGAAGAATATCATAAAATGAAATGATGGGGAATACTTATTCTAAGTCTGAATATATATAAACAAGTTTAATGAAAACTGAAAGATCAAACTCAAACTAAAACTGAATCTAAACTATGTATGAATAAAAGCCTGTACTGACTAAAGATGCTGAGACATGTCCTAACTAATCTAGCAAAGCTGAAACTAAAAGACTAACAATGGAAAGATAACATGTCACTCATCCTCGAAGAATGAGGACTCACCACTGATGCTGCTGACTAAAGATCGGGAACCAGTTGGTCCCAATGGGTAAATGGGTCCATTTTCAAGTTCAAACGAGCCCCAAAGCAGGTAAACCCCTATTTTGCCAATTTTCGTGTACTATAGACCATGATTTTTGAGTGATCCGAAATTAAAGATTTTATTTTCCAAAAATTTTCATGGACGTGTGTTAAAACTTAGCAATGGATCCAATTGGTCCTACAAGCAAACAAGCCCATTTTCATATTCAAACAATCCACAAAGTAGGTTAACCCTCATTTTGCCGATTTTCGTGTGCTATACTCCATAAATTTTGGGTGAGCTGTAATTCTGAATTTTTTTTGCCGAAATTTTTCATGGACATCCGTTAAGACTTTAGTAATGGAGCCAGTTGGTCCCAACGAGCAAACGATTCCATTTTCAATTTCAAACAATCCCCAAAGCAGGTAAACCCCTATTTTACTGATTTTTGTATGCTATAGTCCATGGATTTTTGGTAATCAGGAATTTTGATTTTTTTTGACAAAAGTTCTCTTGGACGTGCGTTAAGACCTTAGTAATAGAGTCAGTTGGTCCTAACGGGAAAATGGACCCATTTTGAAATTCAAACGAGCCCAAAACAGTTAAAACTCTTCATTTTGCCGACTTTCGTGTGCTATAGTACATGGATTTTTGGTGATCAGGAATTTCGAATTTTGTTTGCCAAAAATTTTCATTGAATTCCATTAAGACCTTAGTAATGAAGACAGTTGGTCCCAACGGGTAAACGGGCCCATTTTCAAGTTCAAACGATCCTGAAAGCAGGGAAACCCCCATTTTTCCAATTTTCAGATGTTATAGTCCATTAATTTTTGGTGATCCGAAATTTTGGACTCTTACATCAAAAAATTTCATGGACGTCCGTTAAGACCTAAGTAATGGAGACAATTGGTTCTGAAGGGCAAACGGGCCCAATTTCAAGTTCAAACAAGCCCTAAAATAGGTAAGCCCCCATTTTACCAATTTTCATGTGCTATAGTCTAATGGATTTTTGGTGATCCAGAATTCTGGAGTTTTTTTGATGAAATTTTTCATGGACGTCAGTTAAAACCTTAGTAATAGAGCCAGTTGGTCTTGACGTGAAAACGGGCCCATTTTCAAGTTCAAACGAGCCCCAAAGCAGGTAAATCCTCATTTTGCCGATATTTGAGTGCAGTAGTCCATGGATTTTTTATTATGCGTAATTTTAGATTTTCTTTTGCCAAAAATATTCATGGACATACGTTAAGACCTTAGTAATGTAGCCCGTTAGTCATGACGGACAAACATGCCTATTTTCAAGTTCAAATGATCCCCTAAGCAGGTAAACCCCCATTTTTGCCAATTTTTGTGTGCTACAGTCCATGAATTTTTGGTGATTCGGAATTCTGGATTTTTTTTGCCAAAATTTTTCATGGACGTCTGTTAAGTCCATAGTATTAGAGCCAGTTGGTCCCGACAGGAAAATAGGCCCATTTTAAAGTTCAAATGAGCCCCAAAGCAAGTAAACCCCCATTTTACCAATTTTTGTGTGCTATAGTTCATGGATTTTTGGTGATCCTGAATTCCACATATTTTTTTGCCAAATTTTTTCATAAATGTCCGTTAAGACTCTAGTAATGGAGACAGTTGGTCCCGACGGGCAAACAAGCCCATTTTCAAGTACAAACGATGTCCAAAGCAAGTAAACCTCCATTTTGCCAATTTTGTGTGCTAAAGTCCATGGATTTTCGGTGATCCGGAATTCTAGATATTTTTTTCTGACATTTTTTATGTACATCGCTTAAAACCTTAGTAATGGAACTAGTTGGTCCCAATGGGCAAACGGGACAAATTTCAAGTTCAAACGAGCTCCAAAGCAGGTAAAACCCCCATTTTGCCATTTTCATATACTATAGTCAATGGATTTTTAGTGACCCGAAATTTAGGATTTTTTTTTGCCGAAATTTTTTATGGATGTCCGTTAAGATTTTACTAAGGGAGTCAGTTTGTCCCGACAGGCAAACGAGCCCATTTTTTAAGTTCAAACGATCCCCAAAGTAGGTAAACCCCTATTTTTGTCGATTTTCGTGTGTTATAGTCCATGAATTTTTGGTGATCCAGATTTCCAAATTATTTTTTGCCAAAATTTTTCATGGACGTCCGTTAATACCCAAGTAATTGAGCCAGTTGATCCCGACGGGTAAACTGACCCATTTTCAAATTCAAACGAGCCCCAAACCAGGTAAACCTTCATTTTTCTGATTTTTGTGTGCTCTATTCAATGGATTTTTCGTGATCCGGAATTCTGGATTTTTTTTGCCTAAATTATTCATGGACGTTCATTAAGACTTTAACAATGGAGCTAGTTGGTCCCACGAGCAAACGGGTCCATTTTCAAGTTCAAACGAGCCCCAAAGCAAGCAAACCCCCATTTTCCTAATTTTCGTGCGTTGTAGTCCATGATTTTTTGGTGATCAAGAATTCCAGATTTTTTTTTGCTGAAATTTTTCATTGACGTCCATTAAGACCTTAATAATGGAGCCAGTTGGTCCCGACCACAGGCCCATTTTTAGGTTCAAATGAGGCACGAAAAAATCCCATTTAGCTGAATTTCGTTTGCTATAGGCCACAGATTTTTGGTGCTCCAGAATTCTGGAATTTGTTTTGCCAAATTTTTTTATGGACGTTTGTTAAGACCAAATAATAGAGCCAGTTGGTTTCGACGGGAAAACGGGCCCATTTTCAAGTTCAAACGAGCCACAAAGCAGGTAAACCTCCATTTTATCGATTTTCGTGTGCATAGTCCATGAATTTTTGGTGATCCAGAATTTCAGATAGTTTTTTGCTAAAATATTTCACGAACATCCGTTAAAATCATAGTAATGGAGCCAATTGGTCCTGATGGGCAAACATGCCCATTTTCAAGTTCAAACGAACCCCAAAGTAGGTAAACCCCCATTTTGCCGATTTTCATATGCTATAGTCCATGGATTTTTGGTAATCTAGAATTACGAATATCTTTTTGACAAAAATTTTCATGGATGTTCATAAAAACCGTAGTAATGGAACCAGTTGGTTCCGACTGCCAAACGGGCCCATTTTCAAGTGCCAACGAGCCCATAAGCAGGTAAAACCCCATTTTGCCGATTTTCGTGTTCTATAATCCATAAAATTTTGGTGATTCAGATTTACAGATTTTTTTTTGCCAATTTTGCTTATAGACGTCTGTTAAGACCTTAGTAATGGAGCCAGTTGGTTCAGACAGGCAAACGGGCCCATTTTCAAGTTCAAACGAGCCTCAAAGCAGGTAAACCCTTTTACCGATTTTCGTGTGCTATAGTCCATGAATTTTTGGTGATCTAGAATTCTGGATTTTGTTGTGCAGAAATTTTTCATGGACATACGTTACGACCTTAGTAATGAAGTCAGTTTGTTCCAATGGGCAAATGGGCCCATTTTCAATTTCAAATGAGCCCTAAATCAGGTATACCCCATTTTGCCACTTTTTGTGTGCTATATCGATAAATTTTTGGTGATTCAGAATTCCTGATTTTCTTTTATTGAAATGTTTCATGGACGTCTGTTAAGACCATAGTAATGGAACCAGTTGGTCTCGACGGGAAAACGGGCCCATTTTCAAGTTCAAATGAGCCCAAAGTAGATAAACCCCCATTTTACCGATTTTTGTAGGCAGTCCATGTATTTTTTGTGATCTGGAATTCTGGAAT